TTGGGCAGCCCCCACGACTGTGGGGTGGCAGCAGCAGCACAGAGCCCAGCCCGGGCTGTGGCTGCGCGGGTGCGAAGGCAGCGTCTCGTCCTGAAGGAGTTAACTTCTCACCGGCACCTTTCCCAGCCCTGAATTATTAATTTCCTTATAATCTGCCTTTGGGCACCCCGCGGCCCCTACAACACTCCCACATTAAAGAATCATGCGCTCCCGCGCTGCCTGCGCCGCTTTGATGTTGAACATGCGTGAAACACTCTCCCAGGGAGGAATTTGTACAAAAATTCATCAGGCGATTGAGATATTGCAGATAAGTGTGTATGGGAGAGCGCCTGTCTGGTGATCCCGGTACGGGACCAATGATCCCATAATGGCGCCAGTGATCCCGTTACAGCACCAGCTCCTCAGCCCTGCCTGCGGAGCGCAGACGAGGCAGCTCCAGGGACATCTCTGCCATCCTGGGCTCTCCTCGGAGGCCAGAGGCTGGCGTGTGCCTAATCCTGGGCTGCATCCGCTCATCAGCACAAAAACAAACTGTTTAATTTGGCAAGAACTCCCAAGCGCCGGCTGCTGTGATGAGGGCTGCGTTGGGACTGCTGCACCCTGACCCCCTGGCACCCATGGGACTGCTGCACCCTGACCCCCATGGCACCCATGGGACTGCTGCACCCTGACCCCCTGGCACCCATGGGACTGCTGCACCCTGACCCCCATGGCACCCATGGGACTGCTGCACCCTGACCCCCTGGCACCCATGGGACTGCTGCACCCTGACCCCCATGGCACCCATGGGACTGCTGCACCCTGACCCCCTGGCACCCATGGGACTGCTGCACCCTGACCCCCATGGCACCCATGGGACTGCTGCACCCTGACCCCCTGGCACCCATGGGACTGCTGCACCCTGACCCCATGGCACCCATGGGACTGCTGCACACTGACCCCATGGCACCCATGGGACTGCTGCACCCTGACCCCATGGCACCCATGGGACTGCTGCACCCTGACACCATGGCAGGACCCTCCCCATGCTGCAGCCTGTCCCTTGCCCCCTTGGCCAGAGCTGTGCCAGGGGGTTACGCTGTGCCGTGCCATGCTGTGCCGTGCCATGCTGTGCCATGCCATGCAGTGCCATGCCG